TGATCCTGCCTTAGGACCCATCATGGACAGCTCAGAGCTGTGCACAGTGTAGGGAGTGATATCGTGGAGCTCCGCCCACTGCAGTGGTAGCACCCCAGCTAGGCTTCACGGGTGTGCCAGAGTCAGGTGAAGGGGCGAGGGAAGGGCAGCCCAGGTCAAGTGCATACCTTTACCTTGGTCCAGAAACAAGAAGTATCTTGTGTGCAGGGAACAGCTCTAAGCATCTTAGCATACAAGCCCCAGAGTGTGAGAGATGGGGTTGGAGAGGTGGGGTCCCATCACAGGGCTCGACTTCAGGTGAAGGGGCAGGTGGGGCAAACCGAATGAGCTGTGGAGAGAATCCAAAGTCAAGACTGAAGCAGAAGGCTCAATGCTCAAGTCTCCCTTCAGTGAATAAGGAAAGTAGTTAAGTGCACAGGCCTGGCATGGGACAGAGAAGGCTGCAGTGCTGATGTCACTGCATGTTCCTTTCTTTGCCTTTTAAACGAGGGTTGTACGAGGACTGTGTAAGAAGTGCGGTGTGAGGGAACCACAAGGAATAGCACCGTGACCCTGAGCTTTGCTGCAGCTGAGCTGTAAACACCCCTACACCCAGAGGATGAGGGGAGGGGAGGGAGAGGTTATCAGAATCAGAGAGAGAGGGAGAGTGTGTCAGTTCAGGAGAGTCTGCACTGAGAGTTTGTGAGAGGGGGCCAGGGATACGCTGCCCTCAGTTTCCCCTTCCTTCGGTATCTCCACTGGGGTCCTTATTGGCTGAGACCTGCTGATGTCAGAGTTCAAACCTCCTTTGTCTGTCCTTATGGATCTGTCTCCTGGGCACAGCAGAGTAGAGAGAGGCTCTAGAGGGGCTGGTGAAAGATGCCTGGGGGACACTTACTTATGGGGTGTGAGGTTTAAGCGAGATAATGCAGGAAAACTCTTAGTGGAGCTCTTGACGCAACATGAGTGCTCTATCAAGGCTGAACTGGAGAAACAAACTACCGTCTAGTAAGTAGTATGTTTGCATAAGCATGCCACAGGTAAGTAAAATGGTAAACTAAATAGCAACAGGAAAGATGGGAAGTTATGAGTTCTTCCTGGAAGATAGTCTTGAGGCTGGGATGGAGGCGATGAAGGGAGCTTGGGAGGTGGGTCTTCTTCATTAGGTGTGACAGTCACTGGGCAGTGAAATTCAGGTGTTATTCTGCACCATAAACTTTAGGCCTAGAAAAATTGGAAATGGTTTTATCTTCTTTGAGCACCCATGGTGATATAACTTGTACATCATTTAAAGGGTTTGATATTTCAAATAAGTCACACTTCAGAAGCACCAGTGAAGAATACACAGATTACACACAAGTGCCAACAGGCAGCCCTGTGACCATGGAAGTCCCACCTTCTGTATGTGAAGATAGCCCAATATAACAAAATGTCATAAAAATAAAGTATAATAATATAATAATAACAAAATACAAAAATAACAGCCCAAAGTTGTTATTTCTCTTATTTGGCCACCTCCACACAAACCTGCTAATTGACTAGCTGGCCACAGAACTCCCTGTGCAATTTCTAGATCTGAGGAAGATTTTACAACTACTGTTTACTCTTTTATTCTTTTACAATCCTTATTTTAAAATTCTCTTTCTTAATTTTAACCTACTTACAGTTAGATCTATTTCCTTTCCTTCTGTCCTCATTGTGGCCACGTAGACACAGTACTCTCTACATTAAAAAAAAAAAAAAAAACGAACACCAGAAGAAATTTGAACATAATTTAAGAATATTGGCAGATGTATAGATCTTTCTTGGAATTTTCTTAACTTTTTTTTTCTTGAAAAGAAAGCCAAACCACAAGGTAAAAAACACTAGGTTGTTAATAAACAAAACCTTACATATCTAAAATTTAGGTTTTTTCCAAGACAAAGTAACATTTTCCTCTTCCTGCTTTATCTAATGTGCACATTGCATTTAGACCAAATCCTCATCATGGGAGAAATTCACAAATCCATCTTCCAGCTCCAAGGTTTCCTTGGGCAGGGGAGTATGTGCTTGGTGGTTTCAGAAGCACTGGCTCATGTTCATTTCGCCAAAAGCAGCATATCTTTAAAAATGAAAATTTCCAGGCACTTATCCCCTTAAACAACCTTGTGGGAAAAGATCATTATGAATCTTATGGGCCCACCGGATGTCTTACAGCCTTTAAAAATATCATCAGCCATTTCCCTGAGCAGCGGCAGCTGGTGATAGGCCTCTCATAGCAGGAACAGCTGAAGAATGGCAGTACCAAGGCTGTGTTTCTAACCTTTATTAAATTCCTTATTTGCCGACAGCATGATCCCTTGCAGGCCTGCAGTCTGTGGATTCCTATTCATTCGTTCTCATGAAACTGGTCTCTAGTCTGTCACTGTGTTTTGAACAACGTTGGACTATGTGGGGCAATTCAGGGCTCATCTGGGGGCAGAGCTCCCACAGTGGCTGCCATTCCTTGGATTGTCACATCCCAGAAATGAGTTCTGCTCCATCTGGCTCTGCACCTGGTTTTCCAGAATCAAGCGCTGCCTTCCCTTGCTCTGTGGTCACTTAGAGCAGCAGCTTAGTCTCACCTCTTCCCAGCCATGCAGTCCCAACCAGGGCTTGCCACTGCCCCACGCGTGTCCCCAGCATGTTCTAGGTCTTTTTCTAAGTGCTTTAGCTAATCAAACAGATTGGAAGAGGGGAGTCACAGTATCTTAAAGCCAGAAAGAATATTAGGAATTTTCTAGTCTGGCACTCTGCATTTTCAGATGAGGATATTTTGGTCCAGAAAATGTATCAGTGGCTCACTAATGGTAGCCAGAGCATTGGAACTGATAGCAGAGCTGGAATGAGAACCCACGATTTTATGGAATGAATTGTAGTTGATATATTCAGTCATCATTTGTACTCCTATTATGTTTAGCAGATGACAGGTGGTCCCGCCAAAATTATAAGTTATTTGCACCAACATTCTAATATGACCTTTTAAAAATGAACTTTGAAATGGTTCAGTGGATGATGGGATTATGACATTATGTTGTTATGACTTTTGTCAACTCCTGCTGTTGGGAAAATAGAATAGTTTGGTCAGGGCCCTCGCCTCAGGTCCAGTTGGGTGTGGTTCAGCATCCGCACGCGCGCGCGCGTGTGTGTGTGTGTGTGTGTGGAGTTAGTGTTCATACGCACCAATGTATCTTTAGTTTTGTAGCTGTTCTGTGTTCTTGGGGGGGGGGGAGAGAGAAAGAGACAGAGGGAGAGAGACAGAGAAAGAGAGAGGTAGAGAGGAGTTTTAGTGAAGCAGGCAGGCAGGTGTCAGCCTTGGGCATCCTCCCCACGCAGCCATGCTTTTCCAAACCTATGGCTTCCAAGGACTGTGTGGCCGGTTACATAGCTCATAGATCTGCGTGAAGGGGTCTGGGGACCGAGCCTGGCGTGTGAGGGGTCAGGGGACCCAACCTGGCATGTGAAGGGTTTGTGACCCAGTCTGTGAATGGGCTTGAGGGGTCTGGGAGCTCCAGACCCAGCCCTAGCTTAACAATTGGCCCAGTCAGTGCAGGATTACTGGCAGGTAAAAGAGCCCGGCAACTAGTGTGGTTGCCTAGCTTTACACCTGCTGATACTTACTGCATGTTCATGGGCAAAACTGTAACTTTCCAAATACCTATGCTGGTTATGTGCTGGTTAGGGCAACTCGTGGCAACTTGGTCCTCAAGATTGTACAATTTCGTTTTCTTCCCATGATTTCTTTAAAAAACCTGGAAGGGTCCTGAAATGTATATTAAACATATATTTTGTTTGTTCTTTTACCAACCCGTCATCTAGGGACAATATTACAAACAATAAAACCTATAACATTTATGCACACAAGGCTATCTGGTAGGTTTTTGGGTGTGTGGGACTCTGTGGTTAATGTACAAAGAGTTAAGGTGGTCTTTATATGTATTTACCTTCTATCATTACCTGAGTTAACTTTTTTTGCTATTGATTAAGTCATGACTTTACTCCTGTGCCACCTATGCCTGTGGAATGTGTGGTTTCTTTACTGAGATTATATGTGCAGCACACACAGTGCAGGTTTCTATAACTCGGTCGATCATGTCTCCTCTTTCTAGGCAGAGTATAAAACCACCACATTGCATATGCAGAACTTTAAGGTCTTATGCTATCTTGTCTTCCAGGCTCTGTGGGTACCCTCCTTTTTATGATGAAAATGACTCCAAGCTCTTTGAACAGATCCTCAAGGCAGAATATGAGTTTGACTCCCCCTACTGGGATGACATCTCCGACTCGGGTAGGTCTCCCACTTGCAGCTCCCAGTGGGCGGCCCCTGGACACTTACAGTCAAACCACCTGATCCTGACAGCCCCCGCCCCCCAGGAGAGTTCAGACAATCCTGAGGCTCCTTAGTCCATTCAGGCTGCTATAACAAAAAATACCATAGACTTGGTGGCTTACACATCTCTCCCAGTTCTGGAGGCTGGAAGTCTACGATCAAGGCTTAGCAGGTGCTTAATGGGTTTAGTTGAATTAGTGATGTCTCACACAAGGAAAGGGCATCACAAAAACAGCTCTCTCAGGCTCTGGTGAACTGAAGAGAGGCACAAGATTATGAGAACATTTTCTCTCTTATCTGAACCAAAATATCACTAGCAGCCAGAGAGAAGGGACTTGGCACTGGGAAGTGATGGTGCCATGCCCAGCTCTGTGGCTTCCTCCTTTGGAGTCCCAAGCCATGGCTCTCCTTTTCCCCCTGTGCTAGTGCCTATTGTGGACAAGGTGTGGGAGGGTTCGTGCAGGGCTGGTCTCGTGTTTCCTGCTATACACAGTACTCCCAAAGATCTGGTGGTATCATATTGTCACATCTCAAGCCATAGAGTGATTCTTTCCCTTGTGCCTTCTTTTTGAACAGCCAAAGACTTCATTCGGAATCTGATGGAGAAAGACCCAAATAAAAGATACACCTGTGAACAGGCAGCTCGGCACCCATGGTAAGAAAAGTCACCAACCGTGAACCCTTTCATCCCAGGCCTCACAGGCTAAACTCTTTGGCTGTTGTCAAACTCTTTTGTCCCCTCAGGACACAGTCTTCTGGATGCACTTGTAAGGAGTTAAGTGTACAAAAGAGAGCTGTTGCTTTTTCTCTTTACAGAAAGTTTTTAAGGATCATTTTTATCGAAATTGCCAAATGAGGTGTTAAGATTGGAGTTTTATTCTATGCATTTATTACTTAGCAGTTAAATGATTTGAAGTTATATACTTTTTTCTTTTTAAGGTGCTTTTCAAATTACTGTTTCTCCCACTCTAGAGAGACTAATTGACAGTTTGTGGCATTCTGTGTGACATTTTCAGCTGTATGCTTCAGGCCACCTTGTTTCTGCGGCACTTACTAAGTTAGAACCCAGCTTCATTGTCAACTAGCTGTGACTTTGGGTTTATGCCACTTTTCTGAGTCTCAAATTTCTCATTGGCAAAACGAGAATAACAATACCTGATTTACAGGGTTGACCTAAGAAATGATGGAGCTAATGCGTGTACAGGGTTTACACAATGTCTGGTACATAGTAAATGCTCATTTAATTGTAGCTATTATTATTAAAGCACTATTAGCATCTATTTTGAAACAAATGCCAAGAGTAGTAAAATATCCAAGATAATGAAAATAAATGGACAGAACCTTGAGTTCAAGAGAAGTCCCCCCCTAAGAAGCCTCTAGAAAACTGTTCCCCTCTTCAGTCCACTATCTTCTGTGGCATTTCCTCCAGGGTTTCACATCTTGGTTAACCTCCTAAAGGGGATCTGCCTAAAGGTGGGTGCTAACCTAGTTTCACGGTATTTTAATTTATAACAGCTGTCATTTATTGAGTCTCTATTATGTTCCAGGCATTGTGCTAATTGCTTTAAAGTATTATCTCCTTTTTAATTTATAATAACCCTGCAAGGTTGGTTTTGTCTTCATTTCAGAGATAAAGAAATAGAAAGATAAAGTAACTTGGCCAGGACTACCCGGCCAGCTAATGGCCAAGCCAGGATTTCAGGCAGAACTGTCTGGTTCCAAAATGAGTGTTCCCCACTACCATGCTGAAAGAAGAAAAAGAGAAAGAAGGAAAGAGTTTGGGGGGAAAGGAAAGAGTTTTCTGAACTAGACAGTTCTGATTGTATATCATCTTGATATTTTTTAATGTCACTTTGGACAATAGGTCAAAGCATGTGATGGTAAAAGCAGTAAAGGTTTTCTTACTTTATGAACAATAGACCTTTAAAGCTGTAAGACTTCTGAGATTACTGTACCGTATAGAGGAGGAAAATGACCTCAAACAGAAGGGAAGTGACCTGCCTCCTAGTGCTTGTTCACTAGTCCAGCCTGGCTCTGTAGAAGGTGGGAAGGTGGCCAGTTAAAACCTGGTCTCTCTTTCAGCAAATGCTTTTGAAAAATCAAAGAGAGAGGTGGGTTTTACTGAAGGGGCTGGGAGAGGGGCAGAGTGGGCTCAGGGGAATGTGATGGCCATGCCAAGCCTTGCACCACGAGAAGACTTCCACCAACCAGGAGGGAGGGGATTCCAAGCAGGGTAGGCAGCCTGGGCCATGGCAGGGGGGCTTAAAACTGCACATCCATGCTCAGTGCCACAAGCACTTGGTGTTCTAGAGTAAGAATGGACAGAGGAGAGAGACAGGAGACAAAATGAGAAATGAATGCAGCCATCACAGGGTTGGGCCTGGCCTGCTTGGCTCTCCACTCATTCCCTGTGTGGGTGAGCTCCTCAACAGAACTGAGATCCTAAGTAACAACAATATGCATCCTCCAGGGCTTTGCAAGGGGTGGAATGAGATCATACCCATAACAAAGTAGAGTACCTGGTGCCTAATACATCTTCCATATATATGAGTGTACTAAGGAACTTATACATTTCCCTTTGAGCAGGGGGCCCACGTGCATTTTAGAAAGCCCAGTCTGGCTTCAGGCTGGAGGATGAGTGGCAGGAGCTGGGTATGGGAACATGGCAGGAAGGTAGAGAGGAGGCTGGCCCAGACCAGGGGTGGAGGGGGATGGAGAGGACCAGGGCACACAGAGGGAGAAGCTGCACGCACCACAGGGCACTGGGTTGGGGGGGAAGCGGGGTCTGAGATTATTCCCAAGTTTCCAGCCTAAGGGGCTGGGAGGAGGAGAATGAGCTCGGCTTGGGGCATGCTGAGCTGGAGGTGCTGGGAGCCACTGAGGTGGGGCCCTGTGGCGAATGAGTGTGTGGCTCTTGGGAAAGAGGTCACACTAGAGCAAAGACTTTCGAGTCGCCAGTCTGAGTCACGTTGCAAGAGATATTAGCCTGTGAGCTGTGTCAGCAAATGCTTCTGAATTTCAAGGTGGCTTTTTTCCCAGTGTTCTATCATTTTCACCGTGCATTTCAAAATTCCCAGGAAGTCAAACATGGGAAAATAATAAAAGCGAATGCATTTGACCCAAGCATCACTGAAACTCCCCACTGGCCTGTATTTATGACATACTTGTCTCTCTTATGTAAAATTGCCTGGGTGAAGGAGAACACAATGCAGCAGGAGCTAGCAGGAAGTGGAAAGAAGAGCCCCCTGGGGCAGAGCTTCACCAGCACCACCACTCTGGGAGCTGTGGCCTCGGCACATCCACGGTAGCCAGGGAGTGTCATCGGTTAGTCCGCACTTGCTTTTCCAACTTAATCAAGACTACCCAGGGCTAGGAGAGGCCTCAGAAATCAAGGATGCTTTCCCTTAGCCTCTTAGACCACTACAGACCAAAGAGGGCTCTTTCCAAAGCTCTTCTAGTGAAGGTAGTCAGCCCTTCTTACCAGACGTTTCCAAGCCCCTCTCACTTGAGGGCTCGCCCCTGTCTTAGTGGTGGATGGTAAGGAACCAGCAGGCTGCTTACTGACGACAGCCAAAGAACAGGGAATGGCAGTGGCCTGATGAGAGCCCATGCCCCGATCCAGGACAGCACCTTGCCCGAGCTCATTTATGCAGGCTGGATTATTCTGGACATCGAGCTCCAGTTTAATTGATAAGCAAACTAAAGTGATGAGAGAGACTGAGAGAGAGAAATTAACATATTGCAAGGAATTAAGGCATTGGCTCACATGACTGTGCAGGCTGATGAATCCAGCAGGTTGGAGACACAGCTTGAGTCTGAAGACAGTCTGGAGGCAGAATTCCCTCTTCCTCTTTTGTCTTAAGGCCTTCAGCCGACTGGATGAAGCCCACCCATATTGCAGACACCAGTCTGCTTTACTCAGTGCTTACTGATTGAAATGTTAATCTCATCTAAAAAATACTTTCACAGCAACATCCAGACTATCACTATCTGGTACTGTGGCCTAGCCAAGTTGACACGTAAAATTAACCATCGCACTCCTGAATGTTCATTGTGACCCCCTCCCCTCTTCTGGGCTCCAGCCACCTGAGCTCTAATTGGCCATAGGAATTGGGAAGCAGCCCAGGGGTCCTGCAAAGCACTGTCTGGAATGCTGCCAGACGGCACCAGGCCTATCTTCAGCAAGTGGATAGAAAAACGCAGAATCAGCCATGGAGGTGAAGTGGAGTAGACCCCAGATGAAGCACAAGGACCCCAAAGGCAGAGGAGATGAGCTGGTGGTCTGTGAGCAGAGAAAGATAGTAAGGTCGGCCACTACAAGTGTGATCATGTAAATGCCATCCATATTGTTAGGGGAGGCTGCCAACCAGACAGCAAGGGAGATGTGAGTGAGACGTGCTTACCCGTGTGTGTGTGTGGGGGGGTGTGGGTGTGGGTGTGGGTGTGTGTGGGTGTGGGTGTGAGTATGTGGGTGTGTACAGATTTATAAAGAAGCTCTTCTGTGTCAGCAGCATTGGTCAATTCCTAGGACAACCTAGATGACCACTAAGATCCCTCTTCCAAGCTGTCACTTTGTCCCCCATGGATTTGTCACCCCACTCCTCCTGCGTGATGGAGCCACAAAGGATTACTCAAAGCCCATCTTTTCTGAGCAGTGAGAGACCCCAAAGTGGTTAATCTCCCCCCAGAACCCTCAAGTGAGAGGCATCTCTTCCTTGGGAAATTAACCCCGAATCGGGGTTTTCTTCCTGCGTTTATTTTCCAGACCAGGAAGTTACAGGAAGAGAACATAGGTGGGGTTATAATTTAACAATATACGCTGGTAACTTTCAGTGAAACAAGTCAGATGACATCCCATTAGACAATTAAGTGTTCCTATCAACAAAGGCTTGGTCTTAGCAAACATTCCTTCTCCCTCTAGCAATTTCCAGTATCTTTACATTTCAGTCAGTAACTAGTCTGTCCTTGAGCCAGCAACCTTGCTGTGCCACAAATCTTTATCTTACACCAGAGACTTTATAGCCTGAGGAAAATTTCCAGTCCTCCGCAAGGTCAATATTTGAAATTGCAAGGCTTTGGAAAACCAGGCCCTGTGAAGTACATTTGCTTTGTAGTATATTCCACATCCAAGCCTCTGTGCCTTCAGCTTTGCTGATGAATAATGATGGAGTTAGTGACACTGGGCAGCCGGGTGGCACGTGTCATCAGAGTAAACTTCCTAGCCTATTGTGAGCAGCAGTTTTTGTGGTGGCCCACTTCAGGATGGCTGTTGTGCTGTTGTGGCCGAGGTGGCTGCACTCCCCCCAGCACCCAGAAGACTACTTGACAGGGGCCTCAGGGCCACCTTCTGCCCAGCTTCACTCCTACCCAATGGCAGCACTTCCTAGGACTGTGGGACGTGAGCACAAAGCATTCCTAAGTTCACTGCAAGTTTGCATTTTCCTTACATGTGAGCCACGTGAACCCACAAAAACGGCGTGGGAAGAAGAGCGGAGGCCCCAGGCCCAGGCTTGGAGCGTGTGATGCTGCCCCTGCTGCCAGGCAGGTGGAAGCTGTGTCCTAGGCCTCCCGGCCTGTTTGGTTTGGAGCCCGGCTCTGTCCTGCAGCAGTGCTCAGTCCCAGGAATTCCATACTTCCTACCACTTTGGCTCTGTCATTTCCAAGAAAATGCTGGCCACAGACAAGTTGGAACTAGCATCCTTCTCTGAGGATGTAGCTTTTAAAAACAGTCCAGAAGGAAATATTCCCATGGGTTCTGTAGGAGAAAAAGTTAAGTAAAGATGTCTACAGCTCCCCTAACCTCTCCGTTTCTTGATTTCAGATGTATTTGCCACTCTAATATCCTATTTCTGTTTGACTGATGTGCGTCTGGGGAAAGGGGGCAGTAGACAGTTGTTGGAAATGGAAACATGGTTCACTTCAGTTACTTTTTTTTTCCTCACTGCTTTAAAACCTTTATTTTTTGTTGTGAAGTTTAGCATAGAAAAGTGCACAGAACAAAAATGTACAGGCCAATGATTTATCATAAAGTGAACACCTGTAAAACACCCCCCAAACTGAAAAAATAGAACATTCACAGCACACTCCAGTTACTTTCTGAGTGACCTCTTGGCTATGTGTTTTCCTGCTGGGAAAAGAGAGGCGTATATTTAGGGGGGAAGTTGCTTTTAGCTAGGAATATCAGACCGGAGTCTAAACTCAGGCCAGCCTGGCACAGACTGAATGTCTAGTCCATCACTTGTGTTTGCAATTCTAATGTGAAAGAAAGGCTGGTGGTTGACTTCTTGTGTGGATAAGCCCTGAGCTTGTTCCTTTCTTTTTCCAAAGCAGTTGAAAGTGGCAGTCTGTGGCTTCTGGGCTGTTCTGTGTCCAAGGCAGTCTGGGTGTGGGAGCTGAAACATTTCTTCACTTACTGGTTACCTTCCATCCAGGAAGGATGGTCCATGACTCTGGCATCTGCCCCTGAACATTTCCAAGATTTGATAAACTCTTAGGCATCAGATGCCACCCTAGAATTTACTAGTTTGGTGCTAGAGGAAAGGCAAGGTGGAACGTTCAAAGCCCAGGAAAGACTGAGAGCAGAACACAGCCTCCTCTGAACCAGGGACGGTCAAAGGGTTGAAGGTGGAGGGGGACGATGTGGCGGTCGAGAGCAGGCTATGAGTGGCCTCCAGGTAATTCATAAGACTGGAGATTGTGAGCCGAGAGAAGGGGAAGACACAAGACCAAAAGCAGAGACAGCAGAGAGAGGAAAGAGTAGAGGAGGGGGACTTGATGGAGAGGAGGTGCTCAGCAAACCTACATTCCTCCCTGCTAGTAGGAGAAGCTCCAGAACAAGCAAGAATGAAATAAAAGATTGCCCAGGACAACCAAAGACCCAGTTGAATGCAGAGTAGATGTGGTCCTTGCAGTTCTGAGAATTGCCTAGGAAATGCAGGGGTAGAGGATGCACCCAGCGGGGTTTAGCTAAGCTGGGAATCATGCCCCCAAGCACAGAGAGGGCAAAGGGTGTGAGTTGGCCCCCAGAGCAGAGGTCCTGTGGAGGCAGAGAGGAGGGTTGCAGGTACGAGGAAGCCGAAGCAAGGCTGGGCAGGGGTCTGGTGGTGAAACCAGCTGGGGAGCAAGCGTGAGATTGCAGAGGGGAAGCCTTGCAGGTCAGAAGATGGTGTGGCGGGAGAAGGATGGGAAACCGAATTCCCGTTGTGTTGTCATTGTGGATTCCAGTGTTGCAGGAATTGAGGTCAAAAAAGGGAAAAACTGAGAGCCAGGTAGTGAGGTCGACCAGGAGGGTGTTGGTGCATCCTGGGGAGGGTGCAGAGCACAGAAGGTGGGATACGACTTGGGGGCATGGTGGTGACATGTGGGCTCAGAGAAGAGCCAGAGGGTGACCTAATCAGTGTGGAAGGATGGTGGCAAGCAGTTTGGGGCCTGGTGTCAGAGCCCCAGAAACCCTTCTGAAGCAGCATCTCTGCCCCTGTTTCAGGATCGCTGGTGACACAGCCCTCAACAAAAACATCCACGAGTCCGTCAGCGCCCAGATCCGGAAGAACTTCGCAAAAAGCAAATGGAGAGTAAGTCCTGATATTTTTAAAATTTTTTTAAAAGGATTTTTTTTAAGTCCTGAATTTTTATTAAATTCCCTGTGAATGTAACCACACTCATGAAACTCACCTGCAGTCTGCACATTTCTCATTTCTAAAGGTTACCGTCACCTGAGTTTGGACAAAAATCCCAGCACCTCACCCAAACAATTTTACTAATTTTAATGGAAAGTGATTAAGATTTGGAGGGTGTATCATGGTGTAAGAGGGATCAAGTGTGTGATTAAACACCTCCCCTCCGTGATGCAAAAGTAGCAATGGTGCAGAGTAAGAGCAAAGAGTTCTTTCTCTGTTGCTGTTTCTCCAGCTACATAATCCCCTTCGTCTTTCTTCACTTTGCTAGAACTTTGAACAGTTGGCTTTTATTAAAGTGACACGGAAGTGGAAGAAAACAGGAAATCTGAATTGAACCTATTAATATTTTCTGGCAAAAATTTGATGGATTTAAACCATAGAGGTTTCTTGATCATCTTCTGATTGCCTAACCTCTGTGTTCTTTTTTTTTTTTTTGTCTTTTTCTGTGTCCGGCAACGGATTGCAACCCTCAGTGTTGCCCCCGTACTGGACCAGGACCGGCAACGGGATCACAACCCTTGGTGTTGCCCCCGTGCCTCGCTCAGCCAGTGAGCGGGAACCGGTCTGTCTGTGGGATCCGAACCCTTGGCGGGAGCGCCGCCGCGCTTCCCAAGCGGCGCACTAGCGCAGTGCGCCACCAGGCCGGCCCCTAACCTCTGTGTTCTGATCAGCATGGGTAATTAAGAGCTGGCCTTTCACCATGGAACACCAGTGAGAAACTGTACAGAAACAGAATTAATCCCACTGACCTACTTTATTCAAAGGAAATGCTGTTATTGAGGACAAAAGTACTGGTAACAGGCAAATAAAAACTATTTTAAAACACATTTTAAGGTGTTATAATATCATAATATGCCTTTTATTCTAAAAGTCACTTCTCTTAAATTATGGAGAGAATCGTTTTGCATTTATTTTATATATTTATGATGTCAGAAGAAAACTATTTTAGTCTCTAAAATATATTTTGATGCAGAGGGGGTTTAAGTAAATAAGTATACTTTTAGAAGAAGGGGCAATACAGCTTTTCTTTCTAGAGTATCATGAGAAAGTTTTAAGAAGTTTGAAATGCTTAGGGTACCAGGATAAATAACAGGACACAGTTGGAGTCTTCTCTAATTAGCTGGAATATTTTGTCTGCTTTTTTCCTTTCTTAAATTTCAGCAAGCATTCAATGCCACAGCTGTCGTGAGACATATGAGAAGACTACATCTTGGCAGCAGCCTGGACAGTTCAAATGCAAGTGTTTCAAGCAGCCTCAGTTTGGCAAGCCAAAAAGATTGTGCGTATGTAGCAAAAACAGAATTCTTTAGCTGGCATTTAAGACAAGTTGGGGTGGAGAGAAGGGAATGGTCATTTGCTGAGTACCTACTGTTTGCCGGGCACCTTCAGTACTTAATCTCATTTAATGCTCACTACAACCCTAGGACATTATTTTTTTTTAAATAATTTTAAAATGTAATCATTATTTAATACTCAGCCAACCCTAGGTATTATTATTTCCATTTACAGATGAGAACTCTGTGGCTCAAGTTCCACACAGCCATGACTGTCTGGATTAAGGCCCAGGCACATTCTGATCCATCTCCTTCCCCTCTGCTTTGCTCCTTATTGAGCAGTTGCTCTAAGGTGTGAGGAAGGGGTGGCCGAGACTCATGACAGACTGATCTCACTGACTTCTCATATACGTTTTTTTGACGAGGGTGATGACGATCTGAGCTCATTTATATGCAGTGCGTAGTAGTCGTATTTCATTATCCTTCATATCTAGAGGGAATATTTTATCACTGAGGGCCCACTTACACTCTTCTTACTTCTCTGTCCCGCTCCCCCGTCTGTATTTATCTTAATCTCATGTTAGGCCATTCTGGCAGCTCCTCTCCATGTCAGAGCAGTTGCCTTGATTGGCTCTCGTCTCCCTAACCACTGAGCAGGCTATCAGCTTGGTTTTGCCCTAGGCCTCACAATCCTTCCCCTCAGAAAAGGGTTTCCTTCCTCTGGAATCATCCCATCTCATTCGGGAATGTCCAGCCCTTAAATTTTCCCAAAAACTCTCCACAAGCTTCCCCTGTCCCAGCTGCATGCCACTGTAGACCCTCATTCACATTCCAACGTAGAGCCTTTCCACCTTCTGCTCAAAGGGACCCCCACAGCTGATCATTTCTTTGATGAGTCATACAATAGCTTTGACAGCAAAGCCCATCTTAAGGATTTATTTCATGGGTCTCCCTATGTCCAAGTGTGCAAAGTTCACTGGGGTCACGCTGGAGCTAAATGGCCACTGGTGCCTCCCATGTTAAGGCCTCTCGTCACCAACATATCCACCTGGGGAAAGTTTAGTGTAGCCCATGAGGAGTTTTCTAGGCCAAGGGGCTGCTGAGTTCACACAGGAACAGGTGAACATCCTTATTTCAATGTGCTCTGTGTCACAAAATGCTTCTTAGTCCAGAGTACAGACAACACATCAAGCAGGGTGTCAGAAGGGGTATCAGATTCTGTCTTCATTCTTAAAATACATACTGCACAATGAACAATCCTTATAAGAAATGACCAATTCTTATAATGACAGTATGTATTCAGCACTTAGCCCAGTGCCTAGTACACAGTAAGTGCTCAGTAAATGGAACTGATCATATCATGGTGACTAAACCATATCATTCTCAAATACAAAGTAGTTACATTTGTAATGGAAAAAGGAGAGGAGAGTGGGTGTAAGGACAAAGTATTTTGAACACAATGTAAAGTTTTCCTATGGGTAGGTAAGCATGTAGAGTCAAGTGCGTGAGAGCTTGGCCCCCACAAACCCAGCCTGCGTGACACCCTTGCAGTGGGAAGGGGAGCCAGCATCTGCCTCTGAAGCTCTGAACTACGTGTCCACTGTTCCCCTGTAGGCCTGGCACCTTCCACGCCCTGTAGTTTCATGTCCTCTTCATCGGGGGTCTCAGGAGTCGGAGCCGAGCGGAGACCCAGGCCCACCACTGTGACGACAGTGCACACTGGAAGCAAGTGACTGGCTCTGGAGATGGGGCCCAGGGAAGGGGCCAGGGAAGGGGTGCCCCGGGCTACCAGTGCCATGAGCCATGCCAGTGAGACCCCACCTTGCATGGTGCACCTTCCTGCATAGGACTGGAAGACCGAAGTTTTTTTATGGCCATATTTTATACTGCAATTCTGAAGTGTTCATTTCTCATAAACTGTACTGACTCAAGGGGAGCGGATTTAACAGGATCTGGTGCTGTACATAGGAATCTTGCGAAGCTCTGATGAACGGACCTATTTACCCTTCTCCCCAACCCCGTCCTTTCCACTCTCCTCAGTACAGGTAACCGTCTATGGTGTATTTTTTCATTAATGACAAAAAAAAAGGGTTTCAACTGGATTATTTAAATATTGGTAAATATTGTGCATTAGGGGTTTTTTTCCTTTTAAGAAGTATGTCCTTCCAACTCTCTCAGTTACATGATATATCTTTTACTCTTCAATAGTAGTTTTATGTTAACCTTTAAGAGATTTTTTTTTTCCTCCAAGGGGAATTTAAAGGTGTTTTTTAAAATTCTAATAAGAGGATCGAGAAGCTGTCTCCAAGGCTAAGAGTGCGCTTTCTTCTCTTCCTTGTCTTGTCTCCCCTGCCTCGGGAGGGGCGGCCCTCTAACAAGACCCCTCAGCAGTGTGCAGGGCTGTCTTCTCTCCAGGGGGGCTTAGGAGGGGACCAGCAGAAAACCCTTCCTAGCAGCTCCACCAGCAAACTGCACACCAGCCGGAGACCCCTGGACCCTCTTGCCATCAGCAGTCAGAAAATACAGCAGCCTGCTCCCCCCAGACCCACGGCTAACCTTCACAGGCTATACTTGCCATGAGCGAGACACCCACAAGGATTTAGGAGCCCCTCTTTACAAAAGGAACAAGCTGCCACGTCGTTGTTCCGAGGGACCCCCACACAGCTGTCCTCTCCCACGAGGGGGAGTGGATGAAAGCTCTGATCTCAGCTATGCAGTTTTAAAATTAACCTCTCTCTCTCTCTTTCTCTCTGTGTTTTTTAAAAAGTGTTTCTAATCTTACATTTAAAATGGCCTCCAACACACACAAGTTGTTTCTCTACATTTTTACCCTATTCTCATGGGAATGTTATCTGAGGAAAGGGGAAGGAAATGACCTCAGAAAAGAAACTACTTATCTGGAGTGGTAAGGAGAGGGGACCTGCCAAGCTAGCAGGACACTGGCCACCGGTGAATGGCCAGAGACCTCCCCAGCCAGGCCCAGCTGGTGTCTGAAGGTATCCCTCTGCTCTGGGGAGTCTGAAATCAAAGGTCTGTGGTGGTGGGTCACCAAGCGCCCCAGGTTGCCTGGGACTGTAGGATTTCCGAGAATGTGGGACTTTTAGTGCTGAAACCAGGACTGTTCCAGAAACAGCAGGTCAGGCCATTCACCCGCTTCATGGCTAGGTGTGAGGGAGAGAGCAAGCAAAGGGTGCCACCAGGGCAGACCACTTTGCAAGGAGGCTTCCAGGTAGCTGTCCCAGAGAGAGCCAGGCAGGTAGCCCCCAGTGCCATCTTTGCAGACGCCCTCCCTCGGCCCTCAGGCCCCCCAGCACTGAGTCTGAATTCCACACAATCAGCCTCGAACCCACCCAGGGTGCCAGCAGGTCTGCCTGATAGTCCAACCACTTTCCTGGCTGTTGTCCTTCTGCCCTTGTCTTGTAGTGGGCCAGTCGCAGAAGGGCCTGTTGGTCAAGCCATTTTGCCACTTCCACACCTTTGCCTATGCCGGGACTAATGTTTAGTGATGCCCTTGGCCCTCCCCGGCATGCACACGCACATGTGCACACCTGTACACACACACCCACGCCCACTTGCACACATACACGCACGCATGCGCAGACACACACCCACATGCAAACACACACACAGTGTTACTGGGCTTGGTAGCGCCATCCTGCCTCCCTAAGGATGCCACCAAGACTTGGGTTATTTCCTATTGTTTTAGGAAGAGGAGAAAATAAATAACCATATGAAAGAGTCTTTGCTCTTTTGAGCGAGCCTTCGAGGTGAAAGGATTGAGGTTCTCTTTCGACTGCACTTGGTACTGTTTGTTTTATTACAAAACAGGAATAGAACCCAGAGTGCACCTTTTGTTAAGACCTGACAAATGGGGTGGCAACATCCTAGGACCCTCCCTGATGTCAAATCCCACCACTAGTAGCTGAGCATTTTGTACGTGTGCGTGGTGTACTTGGCCGAGGCTAAAGATGGACACACAAACACCATCACAGGCTTCTTTCCTAACCCCAAACCCCCATTTGGTCTCTTCACCTCAGAGCAAGTGGATTTTTTTTTTTCATTTAAATATGAAGTTTTGAACTAGTGTTCTGAAATGGTTTTTCCCTCTGCTGCCCATCTGTCCCTCCCTGGCTTTCCCGATCTTCATCTCGTAAATGAGGCAGTAAGAGAAGCCATCATGCATCTGGAACAGTGAGAGGGCACCATGCTCAGCACTGCCAGGCCGGCAGCTCCTCGCCCTTGAGCAGGGTACCCTGGAGTCTGGGCTGCTCGCTGCTTCTCTGAAGTCCCGCTCTCCAGCGGGCACTCGGGTCTGGAGCCTCAGAGCTGAGGGGCAGGGCGTAACTAGGTGAAGTGCACGTGACCATGAAAGCCCTTGAGGAAGTGGGAGGCTGCCCAGGGAGACAGCCAGCCACTCGGGGGCTGCTTGTGGCTTTTGTGGTAGGCAGTGGCTGGTTTTTACCATCTCCTGACCCTGACTTCAGAGGAGAAGAGAAAAAATAATCTCCCCCTTCATATCTCCTTTTTAAAGAAAACTGNGGGTTATTTCCTATTGTTTTAGGAAGAGGAGAAAATAAATAACCATATGAAAGAGTCTTTGCTCTTTTGAGCGAGCCTTCGAGGTGAAAGGATTGAGGTTCTCTTTCGACTGCACTTGGTACTGTTTGTTTTATTACAAAACAGGAATAGAACCCAGAGTGCACCTTTTGTTAAGACCTGACAAATGGGGTGGCAACATCCTAGGACCCTCCCTGATGTCAAATCCCACCACTAGTAGCTGAGCATTTTGTACGTGTGCGTGGTGTACTTGGCCGAGGCTAAAGATGGACACACAAACACCATCACAGGCTTCTTTCCTAACCCCAAACCCCCATTTGGTCTCTTCACCTCACAGCAAGTGGATTTTTTTTTTTTTTCATTTAAATATGAAGTTTTGAACTAGTGTTCTGAAATGGTTTTTCCCTCTGGAGCAAGTGGATTTTTTTTTTTCATTTAAATATGAAGTTTTGAACTAGTGTTCTGAAATGGTTTTTCCCTCTGCTGCCCATCTGTCCCTCCCTGGCTTTCCCGATCTTCATCTCGTAAATGAGGCAGTAAGAGAAGCCATCATGCATCTGGAACAGTGAGAGAGCACCATGCTCAGCACTGCCAGGCCGGCAGCTCCTCGCCCTTGAGCAGGGTACCCTGGAGTCTGGGCTGCTCGCTGCTTCTCTGAAGTCCCGCTCTCCAGCGGGCACTCGGGTCTGGAGCCTCAGAGCTGAGGGGCAGGGCGTAACTAGGTGAAGTGCACGTGACCATGAAAGCCCTTGAGGAAGTGGGAGGCTGCCCAGGGAGACAGCCAGCCACTCGGGGGCTGCTTGTGGCTTTTGTGGTAGGCAGTGGCTGGTTTTTACCATCTCCTGACCCTGACTTCAGAGGAAAAGAGAAAAAATAATCTCCCCCTTCATATCTCCTTTTTAAAGAAAACTGTGCAGAAACCATGCCCCCCCCCAAAAAAAAATGCAGGTGCAGCCTTAGTGTTCTTGAACGTGGTCACATTCCAGTCACTTCTAACTTTGACAACAAAGAGCAGCCTCCCCCTGCACAGGAGCTCATGATCTTAGAGAGGGTCCCACTCTCCAACTAGTTCTGAGTATAGTGTCCAGGGAACTTGGCAGTCAGGCTTAAGGCAAGAGAAGATGCCCAGGGCTGGACAGGCAGATTGGGCTCTTAAAAACATGAGCAATCTGATAAAAAGGAATTTGGCATTGTGAGCCTCAGCCTCAGTTTATCTCATCTTGTTCATTTGTCCACCTTGAGGTCCAGTGTGTCCTGGATGGATTGTGGGTGGGAGAGGGGGACTCCCCTTTAGAGCAAAGGCCAAGAACACCAGAGAGAGGGGAGGGAACCCAGATGATCCCCTTTTGAGAATGGGTTGACCCTCGCTATCGGGTTTAAGCTGTCGTGGAATGACAGCTTAAACCCGATTAACTCACTGGAGTTTGACGTTTTATGAGCAATTTTAAACAGAATGAAAAGACCATATCCCAGTGGAGGTGGACTCAGTATTTTAAAGCCTTGGGCACCATGGCCCCTCAGGCCACCCAGAGCCTCAGTCAGAATTGATTCATTGCACTGGGGAGCCATGCTGGGACTGCTGCTCCTGGCTGAAGACAGGAGAACAAGGTCCTCTGTGCTTCAGCCAGCAACACTCCCACAAGAGCACTGCTGGGGTTCTTCTGGACAAGAGGAAGGCAGGCAAGGGCCAGCAAAGGGCAGCCCCTCCCACTTCTCACACACAGAAATGAGCTGTACTCTTTCGCAGATTTGCACAATCACTTCTGGCAAATGAAATGAAGGTCCTCTGATTTAACAAGTGCACGAAACCTTTGCATGTTCTTCTGAAACAGACTCCTTCCCCGTTTTGTCTACTCACACTCTGCAAAGTTTGCCTTTTCCTTAAACACATTCCAGACCAAACACTGTTCAGTTTGTTTCAAAAAAAAAAAAAAGGGTATATACCTGTACGTAATCCACTACTCTTTTGGGAGGTACCAGGTCCTAGGTTAGGGCCACAGGTGTTCCTGACATTTGCAAAAGGTGTTCCAGTTCTTCAATTTTCAAACTTGAACATGTGAAAGGTGGAAAAGCTGAATTGGGAAAATAGATTTCTAAAACGAGGGCTTATTCCTGAATACTCCAAAAAATTAGTTTGCACATGAGTTAGCTTGAGAACCTCAATTGTGGGTAGCAGGCAGGTCTGGGGACGAGAAAGAGGCCCACAACCCAGGCACCTGGTACCTTCCCAGTAGTCCCAGTACGTCGCAATCGGCACCCTGGGCGTGTGCCAGGAGCCCAGCCCCACTGTGAAGTCTGCCCTGCATGCTGGCCATGGGTTAGGGCCACAGGTGTTCCTGACATTTGCAAAAGGTGTTCCAGTTCTTCAGTTTTCAAACTTGAACATCTGAAAGGTGGAAAAGCTGAATTGGGAAAATAGATTTCTAAAACGAGGGCTTATTCCTGAATACTCCAAAAAATTAGTTTGCACATGAGTTAGCTTGAGAACCTCAATTGTGGGTAGCAGGCAGGTCTGGGGACGAGAAAGAGGCCCACAACCCAGGCACCTGGTACCTTCCCAGTAGTCCCAGTACGTCGCAATCAGCACCCTGGGCGTGTGCCAGGAGCCCAGCCCCACTGTGAAGTCTGCCCTGCATGCTGGCCATGGCCTGGCCCACCTCCTGCTCCACGTGGTGGCCGATGCCTCCAGAATCAGCGGGAAGGAGTCGGCCCTTCCTGGACTTCCCTGCCACCTCCAGCAGGAGCAGCTCAGCTTGTAGGGGCTCCGCTTTTGCAAACCCAAAGGCCATGCCTTTGGAAGCCAAACACCCAGCATGTGGCTGGCACGTCTGGTTCTGTGGACAAAGCCAACTGTGGAATGGCTTCTCAGTGTCTGAACCTTTTTACACCAAAGGGACAAACTGTCGCATCTACCCCTTGTTCTAACTCTGCTTCTGCATTTGCCCTATCCGTTTTTAACCTTTTTGTCGCCAGGGAACTTCTCGTCTGATTATTATGTCTTCTGATGATTTGCCGTATTATTTTACTTACAGGTGATTTTATTTTCTTAAGGACAGGAAAAAAAGAAAAGGAAAGGAGTGACTGAGGCATTAGTCATAGAGATAAGACATCACCAGGGACTCTTGAAAGCCCCAAGAGCTAGTTAAATTGCTTCTCAAAGGAAAATCTCAGTCTGGACAGAGTAAGATTCCTGGGCCCTCCCGGGAATTTTGCACTTTGGGGTGCAGGGGCCCTGGGCAGGGTTGGCGGCCATGCTTCGGGAGAGCTAAAGAAGGAATGAGAACATCAGCTCAGGTGTTCATCTTGCAGCACTGCAGCCTGCCACACTCCTTCCCAGGGTGCGTGGCCCTGTCGGAGTGGTACAAGACGCTGTCCAGATGGTGACAGAAACACTGCAACTTCGCAGCAGCATCTTTGCTTTGAAAGATGGTGCGGCGTGTTTCAGAGAACATTTATCTTAGTCCCACATTCAGGCAAGAAGACAAAGATAACATTCTGTCCAGAATAAATTTTGGAACAATTTCTAAATTGGCTTCAGTACACATAATGTAATTGCCCTTCTTTCGGCTCTCCCAACAGTAAGCATGTTTTCCAAAAGCTGACCACATCGAACCCAGGAATGTCCCTGTATCTACTATTACCAGGCTTGCAGTTGGTTAAATTTTGTCATAAAAACATGCTTGTCCAAAAGAAGGGAAATGTGCATCTAGTCCGTGCATGTAATAAACCCTGCAAGAAGTTTAACCCACGTAGGTTTGCGGCACTGCAAAATTGTTCATGGGTCTATGTAGCAAATGATTCTCTGCCTTGACAATCATGTATACATATCAAGATTTGTATCATAATGATAATGGGATTGATGACTTGTTTTCTCCAATAAAGACAATTAATCACCTTCAGGTGTATGTTGTCTGCTTCCTCCATAATGAGGAGGATGTGTGGTTTCAACATCTCTATCTTTTCTCTCCTCTCTGAAGTTTGGATTTGAAGGAAAGAGTTTGAATTGAAACCCTGGAAACTCACAAGATCCCTTAAATATCTAATATCACCTACTCAATGAGCAGGAAGTGGCAAGGATGGGGAGAGGCAGCATGTCTTGGCTTTGGGGCTTGGGGTGGGTGCTCAGGTTCAATGTTGCTGGACAGGAAAGCACCCCCTTTTCCTTGCTGCTGGGAAGGTGGCTGGAGGTGAACCCAGGATCTCAAATCACACTAACTAGAAGTTCATAAGTTGTTTGGAGGAAAAGCCAACACTAATTCTCAGGAAACACCCCCAGGCTTGAGCAAAACACACCCACATTCTTTGATTTCCTCAGCACAGCCTGTAGTTCTCAGTGCCCAAAGGAAGCTTCTTTTCCAAACAGAAGGCTGATGGCTGTCTTTTATGGGGAGTCGGGGGCAGGGGAGGAACTACAGTTCATAGCTCCTCACACATACTATGGGGGTTGAGTCTGGCGACCAGACAATTCCCCCAATTTAAATAGTTAGTAGTTGTGTACGGAAAAGAAAACTGAATTGGACGTGTGTTATAGAAATGTAGATTTATCACTGCCCCACACAGTCAGAATCAAATGAAGACAGCCTGGGCCTTAGTGAAAATAAGGCTGTGAGCCCAAAAGAAATATGGTGTGCACTGTCTGATGTCCAGTCCTTTTTCAGTTGATTCTTGCATCTCTGAGCCCAGGCCTTAATGATGAGATAGCAGAGGGATCATTTAGTGGGTGAATACATGGCATATGAATGCAAATATTAGGGAACAAAAGAATTTTGGTACTTAAGCCCTTTTGAAAGGACTGTTAAAGATAAGGCTTAGCAACCAACTGTAGCTGAAAATTTAGCCCAAGGAAATGCACAGAAGAAAAAAAACTGACTCTAGTGAAAACTGGTATATATTAGGGCCTTAGAGTTGAAACGTTTAAGATCAAACTTTTTTACTTGGCTCCAATCACAAGGACCAGCAGGCCAGCACCTCTAAATTTTAGATCCAAGCTCCCTATGACCCCCCAAAATGTTCACCTTGCACTGAAGCTCACTCCAAATTTTGTATATTTTTCAGATAAATTTTGGTCTTATAAATTCCTTGTGACTATCTATCATTGACCATAACACATTTAGGAGCTGGTTCTAAAACAAGTACAAGAAGCAGATGAATGCCTCCTCACACAGTTCCAGGATCATCATCCAGGCAAGAGCCCTGCTGTGCTCAGCGGGCAGAGAACTTGAGGACAGAAAGGGGGGACAGATCATGTGCACTCACATCCTCCTGGCTCTCTATGCACCCAAGGAAGACAACTATAACTTAAAAGCTCCGTTTCTTAGAGAAAGGTTCTGAGCACAGAACACTTTAAATTCATGTGTGTGTTGAGCCATTTGGCTGGGCTAGCAGTGGTCTTAGGGGTGTGTATCCACTTGGCTTGGACCAATGCTCTCTAGTTCCAGAAAGACCAAGCAAGAACTGTGCCCAGCCCCATTTCTTTTACATACTTGCCTGCAAAACCAGTGCTGAGCCCCCAGAATGAGAGAGAGAGAGAAGAGAGATAGAGAGAGAGAAGAGAGAGAGAGAGTGAGTGTGTGTGTGTACCCTGCAGGGGCTTCCAGCTGAGAGATGTAGTGGGGGCTGATTTCCAGCCCTCACCCTGCATGCCAAGCCATGTGCCTTGGCTCAGAAGAAGGGGTGCCTGTTTCTCCATCTACTTCATGCAAAGGTACCGGATGGGGGCCTACTGGTTTGGGTGAGCACAGCAGCCCTTGGAGCATTAAGCTGTGAGCTGTGGGCCCACAGGAACTTTTATCAGGTTTTCAAGGCTGGAGAAAGCTCCAGCTGGGAGCTCAGAGTCAAGGCCCAGGCTCCGGGGGGAATTCATCCAGGCTTTTCTGTCCAGGGATATGAGATTGCAGAGAGTGTTAGCCTTAAAGAGGCCATTGCTGAAGGACCGGACTATAGAAAAGCACTTCACAGATGTCATCAGGCATCACACTGTAGAAAAGTGGGTTGGCCTCCCTGGTCTCACTGCAGCGACAAGAAACCCACAGAGACCTGCCTGTCATCCAGACTCTTTGGTAGCCGTGAAATTAGACCTTGGGGGCCCTCAGGACCCACAATCCTCTCTGATCTACTTCCCCTTCAGGTTTCCATCCCTACCGGTGCCTTTCAGGTGAACCCAATCATAAGCTTTCATTCATTCATTCATCATTCATTCATTCTTTATCCATTCAACATTTTTTGAGCACCTACTATGTACAAAAGTTTTCATTCACTCTGAGAAACCCAAGTAAATCTGACCTGACTGCCACCCTCAAAAACTGCATGAGACGGATCACTTGAGTTAAGCCCGGAAGGACAGGAAGCATGTGGACAGCAAGAACGTAGCAGGAGCAGAGTGAGCAGGAGCTGGAGGCTGGGGATACAGTAAGCAGACAGAGTGCACATTCCTTGGGCAGGAGCATAGGGTGTGGGCAAACCACAGGGAGAGAGAGAAGCAGGGGCTGGAGGAGCCTTGTTACTGTCATCAACAATAACTGCCACTGCTACCAATGTCACGTGCTGACCATTTACTGTGTTGTAGACAGTGTGCTGACTGCATCCCGTTCGTTATGTCACTTCACCATCAGCCTCAGCAAGGAAAGTCTCTGATTGTCCAAACAGGTTCAGAAACATTCAATGATTTACCCGTGGTCAGCTGTGCATATGAGCAGAATTTCAAGCTCAGCTCGGACTCACACCAAAGGCCATTGTGCTGTCCTGCCTCTCATGGTTTTCTGCAGGTCACTGAATTCCAAACTATGAAATTTGGATTGTATTTATTTAGTGGGGAACTGGGAGCCATTGAAACTTATTGAGTTGAGGGGGAACACGATCAACTCAGTTAACGTTTTGGAACATCACCATTATTAGGGTCCATTCTATATCGACAAGAGAAATTTGTCTCCTGTAATAGCATGGTCTGGCCTTACATGAAGTCCAATAAATGAGGGCCTGCGGAGAGAACATAATCGTCACCGTGTATCCAGCCTATGTGTCTTCTGCTGTTCAGTCGTTCCATTCCTCAGGAAAAATGTCATAGAAGCTGGATTTGATCTAGAATCAGAGATGTAAATAATAATGATAACACTGTTCGGTTTGGGTTTTGCATTTTTTTCAAGTCAGTTATTCGCTTACCCTATTAATAACTCCAGAAAGTTTTGTCTGTGCACACGGAGTTTCATCCCTGACTTGCAGCCTTCCCTGGCATCTGCTTTTTTGCACCAGAATGCCCGCAAAGCTACTGGTTTATTTTCAAGAAAGTGTCTCAGATCTCTTGTGTTCTTTTAGCCTCCTCTGAGAGGAACTGTATCTAGCATGAGTTCATCTTCCTAATCTGTCTGCGCCAGCAAGCACTTACTCTTTCCAGAAGGACCCAGTGGGCCAGGAAAAGGCAGTTCTTGGTCAACTGGTGAACCTGTTTTCTCCTGTCCATGTCTCTGTTTCCTACCCCCTCCCTATAACATTTCTTCAATGTCAACATTATATTTTCTTTCAAGAGCACATCGGATCTAAATCTTTCCAGAGGTCTTTCTGGGTCAGGCTGTTTACATCAGCACATGGAGAAAAGCTCACTGGAGATCCTGCGCTGCCAGCCCCACCTGGCCCTAATCACTCAGAAAAGCGCGGGGACTGACCCCTCTACTGAGGACCAGCTGTTTCCCCAGCATGGACCTGGGACGACAGCTGACTTTTGCACCCACCTAGCCCAATGTGCTGGTCACGTGGCCCCCCAGGGGAGGGGAAAACACTTACTCCAGGGATGACAAAGGCGTTAAAGGCAAACCCCAGCATGGACCTGGGACGACAGCTGACTTTTGCACCCACCTAGCCCAATGTGCTGGTCATGTGGCCCCCCAGGGGAGGGGAAAACACTTACTCCAGGGATGACAAAGGCGTTAAAGGCAAGGGGGAAGGAGTTTACATCAGACGCCCCAGAGGAGACCCCGATTCCTCAGCTGCTCCCAGCAAGTCACCCCCAGCTGCCGCTGCTCAAGAGCTACAGCCCAGGGCTTCTCACACTTCATCTCCCAAAATGCCAATCCGGTTCAGTGGCGGGGCCAGGGCTTCTGCATTTCTAACAAGCTCCCAGGTGGCACGGCTGCTGCTGGTCCCTGGACCACACTTCAAGTAGCCAGGGATGGAGCAGCCTCTTCTGGTGGTTCTCATTCCTGACTGCATGTTCGAACCACCTTGGGAGCATTTAAAAAATACCACAACCCAGGCCACTTGAATCAGGATCTCTGGTGGAAGGGGCCCTCGGTGATCCTGAAGTGCAGCCAGGTGTAACCACGGGAGCTGCTGAGAAACGCCATAGCTTCCGGCTAACCAAAACCCGGACTGCAACTGTAAATGATAACCAGCCTTCTTCTGAGTCCAGGACTAATTCTAGCCCAAGCTTCTCAGGTCTTGCTTCAATCCGCACAGGTATCGTCTTGTCTGAACTAATCTTTGCCCTTCCCAACCTCCCTAAGCTCTTTACTGTGCCCTCTGGAATTCAAATCTTGTTGGCAAAATCTCCTAAATTCTGCGTGTAGGTGGAGAGTGACAAGCTTTCATACAAGTCGAGGAGGACCCATAGACTGGGCCACTGATGGGATCATTGTAGACTAGACAGCCCCAAGCCCACAATTTGTCTACTACTACATGCTAGGACTACTGTGTGCAGATGCGTTAGATTGGTTGACTGAGCACACGCCTGCAGTGCCATGTGCCAGGCCTGCTTTCAACTCCCCATGTGAACGCCTTTGATCCTTGTAACAACCTTATGATTGGGATACTGTGATATCAATTTTATAGATGGGGAAACTGAAGCATGTAAAGGCTCAGTGACTTGTCCCTGCCACACCACAAGTGGCTGTTCTGGGTTAAATGTGTC